CTCAGCCACACGGCCTCATGCCAGCCCCAGGTGTGCTCCCAGCTCGGGGCCTTTGCACTGCCTGCCCTGCTGCTGGCAGCTCTTCCTCCAGGGATCCCGGGCTGGGCATGGGGTCTTATCAGGAAAAGCTCTCCTCTCGGCTGGCCCTCCCATGATCACCCTACTGAAAATGCCTCGTCCCAGCTCTGCACTAGTATATCCATTTCCAACTTCATTTCTCTCCTTTATACTTCTGGCTATTGGACATTCTACCATTTTCCTTTGTTTATTACCTGCCTCTCCGCACTAGAACATCAGCTCTGTGAAGAGGGATTTTATCCCTTTTGTTCACTGCTGCCTCCCTCCCCCAGAGCAGGGCCTGGTGCAGGGGCAGTATTCGATAAACGGTGGGTAAATAAATGGATTCCGAAGAGCACTGCTATCAGCTAGGCTGGACTCTTGTTCTTCTAGACTTTCAGTACCATAAAGAGATTCCATTTTTTCTCCCTAATTTGCCCAATTCCCTTTGCTGGTACTATTCATAAAATTCATAATCTGGTTCTTAATACTCTTTTCTCATTTAATTATTGCTATAATGTTGCAGTTAGTAAAGGCAAGAAACATTTTATGAAATGAAATTAGATCAAGACATAAAAAATGCTTGAATGCAAAGACTTCTGCCGGCAGACTCAGCACATGTGACCTCAGGCCTGCCCAGTGCAGGTGCAGGTCCAAGGCCCCCTCGGGCCGGGCTCCCACTTCTGTGTGCAGCTGCCACCTGTCACATGGATCCAGTGAAGGGTGGGAGGGCAAAGTCACATCCGTGTTCAGGATGGGCTTCCCTTCCTCCACGACCACGCTCTTCAAGCTCTCCCAGGGGTGGGAGCAGTGGATTAGAAGCAAGGACTGTGCTTCTGTTTACAAACAGATAAAAGTCAAAGTTGTATTGCAGAAAATTTGATTTTAAGGGCCAGAAATATTAGTGTTTGTCTGGTATACCTAGACTTGCTACCTCTGTGATTTAAATCACTTAATCCCTTGAAACTTCGATTTTCTTAATCTATGAAACGGAGATAATAATTTTCCACCTTCCAGACTCATGGCAAAGATTAAATAAGATAAAGCGTGCACATCAACTAGCTTGCAGCAGTCACTTGGCAGAGTAAGGGATTTGTTTCTAGCCTTGGCACCCTTCAGAAGTACCGGCTCCCAGGTGCAGCCGCGCCACCAAAGTTGCACACGCCCACGCCCGCGTCTCTGTAAACTGGTTTACAAAACGTGCTTGCACTGGGCGCTGGGTCAAACAGTTAACGTGGCTGGGGCACAGTGAAGCTGTGGACACCGAGCTACACTCGTCTGCCCCCACCCTGCGTCCTTCTTCCTGGCTCAGGGCCAACCCAGCTGCCTGCCCAGAGAGGGCGCTGGCGAGCGGACCTGCTGCTAACCAGCGTGGCTCCAGGCACATCCCTCAGCCACACAGAGCCCAGTTTCAGCACCCCTGCCCGAGTTCTTACGAGGTCATGTGTGTGCAACAGCATTGCTCACACTCAGAACCAGCGGGAGGGCTCCCTAAAATGCAGATTCCTGGGTCCCTCCCCAGAGACTCTGAGTCAGCAGGTCTGCAGTGGAGCCAGAAAATGTGCGTTTCGAGCAAGCGTGCAGGGATGACAGCACTGCTGGTTCAGGACCACGCCCCAGACGCCAGGGTGCACAGCTCGGATGTGCGGGGGAAGTGCCCCGCAAATGTTACCCACCTTACTAACACTTTTGTTACCGCTGTCACTACCACTTAAGGAGTACCTTTTTAGGATTAGTGAGCTCTATTGGAAAAAGCAAAAAAGCATGGCAGTCTCCCTCCAGGGGTCCATTTGCCTCTGGACGGACCACTCAGGTTTCCCGCGGTGCTCGGCCAGCACCGCTCCTTGCCAGGAATCTCCTGGGGACTTCTACCTGCCCCGAGTCCCAAAGCCTCAGGATCCCACCCCCGGGAATCATTTTAACACCATCCTGTGGGTCAGGAAACTGAGGCACAGGGGAGCTGCCTGCTGAACCGGACCTGGCTAGAAGAGGACAGAACAAACATGCGTGGGGTTCATAACCCCGGGAATGTCATTGTTTCCACTGCTGTCCCGTGTAACCGCTCCCCCATGGGATGTTTTGTTGGGTTTTTCTGGAATGGCCTTGCATGTTTCTTGGCCTGAACTGAGGTGCTATTTTGACAGTGAGCAGACACAGCCTAACTGTCGGTGAACATACTGCGTCACGTGATCTATGATAAAAGGAAGAAACCCAAAAGTCACACTTCTGTGTCAGAGACGCCCTTGTGAATGGCGCTGGGGACCTGGAGAGCCTCAGCGCGCTCCTCGCCCTGTTGCGCCAGCTCCCACGCCAACGCCGCGGGCACTGAGGCCCGGCCATGGCCTGCAGTCCCCAGAGCCGGCTCCCAGCCTCTCCCCTCTCCAGCCCGGGTGGACTCACAGCCGGCCTCGCCTAGGAAAGCACCAATTTAATTAAGCGTGAGGATCAGAGTGTGTCTGTTCCATTTTGTCTGCTCCAGTGGCCTGCTGGGGAGCGTGTGCAGTGCGGGCTGGGGACAGAAAGCACGGCGGCCCGTGACCGCCCAGGCGCAGTGTGCAGGGCTGTGCGTCTCCCGGATCTGCCGCAGGGCCCGGCAGTGCCACCGCCGCAGGCTGCAGAGGGGGCTGCCTGGGCATGTGAGCTCGCACCGGGAGAGGGACTCCTCTCCATGGATACTTTTATAAAAATGTCAGCACCTCTTCTCTGCCACGGCCCCACTCAAATCTATTCTCAAGGCACAAGGAAAAGGGAAACGACAGGCCGTGGCCCCGGGGAGCCCCTCTCTTAGGACAGCAGTAAAGACAGTCCCCACACTCCACGAAAAACGTCTGAGCTGCAGCTCCAATAGGTGTGATCAGAAGCCTCTACAGAAATTGTGTTTCACATTTGCTGCTAAACAGACAATAAAAATGCCCTTTACCATCTAAGGTAGTAAACGTTATGAGCCATCAGGCCCAAGTCTAAGAGGCTGCTCTTACAGTGATAGGATAAAACTACTTTCTGAGAAAGAGACTCTAAATGCCAGTCCCTGCGACTGTAGCCTTGATTTCTGTTATAATTACAGTCTTTTGGACATGACGTGTGTCCTCGGCGTGTTGCTGACAGGGGACAGGCAGCCTCTCCCCTCGGCCCCGCCGCTTTTCCCGGGCTCCCCCACCACCCTGTACCCTGCCGGCGCGTCCACAGGACGCACACTCTCGTCTCTGTGACAGGCAGCACCTCTTCCCGCGGGATCCAAGATAAAAGTATCAGTCCTGCTCTAAAATTCAAAATACAGCTCCAGCGTTGAAGGCGCCCCCCTGCCAGGGAGGGAGGAGCTTATCTCAGCAGCCGGGCCCCAGGAAGGCGAGGTCGCCCCATCCTTCTCTACCCAGAGAGGACTCGGGGCTGGGGTGCGGGAGGGAGGACCCGGCTCTCTGCTCTGTGGTCTGACCTCCTTTTCCGAGCTGACCGCGCTCGCCTGTTTGCAGCACTGGAGTGCGGTTCACGTGGGTGGCCGGGCTCTGGCCACGGCGGGCGGCCAGCCACACCCTCCTCTCCGGATCCCTGCGTGTCCCAGTCCACAGCACACGCAGCCTCCACAGCCTTGGTTCCCCCAGCCCTGCCTGCAGCCTACAGCCCCAGGCCCTGCCAGCCCCAGACAGACTGGGGGTGCTGGCTGTCCACCCGGTGCTCGTGCCACCAGGGAAAGGGGTCTGTGGCATTCATGAGACAACCTCACAAAAGAGAAGCTCACACAGACCTTGGAGGCCGAAGTTGGGCCCAGAACAGCTGCTTGTGGAGGGTGTTCATTGGAGGGTGTCCCCATCATCTCTGTCCCACGACCACAGCGCCTGGCAGAGCAGGGTCCCACCTGCCCCTCTACTGCCCTCACCTGCAAGGGCTTCTTGGCCTCTTGTGTCCCTGCTGAGAAGCACTTGCCCTTGGGGGGGCCACAGCCCACCCGTCACTCAACGCTGCTCCTCCTGGGACTGCCAGGAAGGGGGCAGTTGTCTCTCAAGATGAGCAGGTGAGAAGCAGAAAAGCACACAGGGCAGGGCGGACTCTCCTCCCACCAGCCCGGCACACACACTCAACACGGACACCGGGAAACTATTTCAGACAAAGACCTGCTGGGGTCCACTGTTTGCAGCTCAGTCTCAGAACCCCAGAAGCTGGGTGGGGGGAACCCCACATGTCCCAAAGGGTTTTCAGCTTGCCTGAGAACACCCCTTGGGTGCCACACTCGCCCTGTAAGCTCAGGCTTTTTATCTAGCAAGTATAAATGTCTGTCTTTGATTAATAATCATAGGAATAGAGCAGATTTCTCAACGAATACTCTTCGTTTGCTAGAGAAAAATCTCCAAAATCTTTTCAAAACCTGGGTTCCATGAGGGACCAACAAACAGCATGCTTTGTAGTGAAAAAAAGCTGGGATTCAAAACCTCCAGAAGCCCCACAGTGGGGAGGGCGGGCACGGTGGCACCACTGAGACGTGCCATCCCCAGGAGCAGGGCATGCATCTGGAACGGCTGCACACCGACCGGGGCAGAACTCGAATTTGTTTTTTTGGAATTAGCCTTTAGCCAGGCTCCTCCTCTCTCAGCAAGTTCCATGTTCTCCACCCGGGCACAGGGCTCCCCAGCACGGGTTGGCCCGGCTGGTCTGCCCCCAGGGCCTGAGTGACGGTCCCCTGCCTTCCACCGAGTGGACGCCTGCTCCTGTCACAGCTGAACTCAGTCTTGCCTCTGCGAGGACAGAGCCACGTCTGAGACGAGGCAGCCTGCGCGGCCCCACCTGGATCCTCAGGGCACCCGAGTCCTCCTGACCTGTCCTCCAAACACTCACGTGTGGACGCCCACCCCCAGCAGGAGCTGAACAGGCCTCCCCGGCTCTCCACCTCCTGGGCCTGCCGTGCCTGCAACACCACCACGTGTGTGTGCCGCCGCCCGGCAGGGCCTTACCTCGTGGGACAGGTAGAAGGCCGCGATGCCCAAGGGCCAGAAGCAGCAAAGCATGGAGAAGACGCTGAGGCCCAGGTGGTCCCGTGGCGGCATCATGAGGAAGTTGTCCTCACTCTCAGTGTCGCTGGAGTAGTCGCTCTGCAGGAGGGACACGGGCAGGGCGGGAGAGGAGAAATGATTACTGTGGAGTCATTCTCGGGATGCCCGGGACAGGGGGATGGCACCCGGCTGGAGCAGGCCCTCCGGGACGGCAGCTGCAGTGGCTGACACCGTGAGTGTCATTGTCACCGCTGCAAGTGTACAGCCTCACAAAAAGGATTTCCTCAAGGAAACCCTTACCAAGGACAAGAAGAAAAAATATCCTATGTACGGGGCTCTTGGGTCACTCAACGGCAGATAAAATCCTATAGAAACCAATTGTTTTTAAGATCTGTGGGTGCTCTGTGCCCGGATGTTGGGAATACAGGTGTGATCTAGCCAGGAGGGACTGGGGCTTTCAGAAGGCGTAGGTACCCCACATGGACTTTACTTTTTATCCGACACTCCCCACTGGTTTACAGGACAAGGCAGGGCTGGCGTGGACGGGAGAACACTGTCCCCTGAATGCCCCTCTCTCCTTTCCTTGACTATGAACCAACGACTGCTTTGTAAGAAGCCGCCTTGAGACTGTGCATCTGCCGTGTGGTCCGGTTACAAGGTGGGGATCGTCCCCAGCCTGACCGGGAACCTCCTGGGACTCTGACAGAGGAGGGGTGTGTGTTGGGGGCTGGGGAACTGAGCACGGGAATTTTTACAAAGCTGCTCAGAAGATTCCAGCACTCACCTCGCAGTGAGAACCACCGCCGGAACCTCCTGGAGAGGGCGCAGGTGCCCAGGAGACAGGACACCAAATGGCGGGGGCCTCACAGCCCCCCCAACCCCCACCCCACCCCCACCCGGGGAGCCTGAGTGCAGAGGGGGCTTGTTTCCTTCCCGGCTATCCCACGTGCTGGGCTCCCAGTGCGACTGTCTTTCCTCGTCAAAACGCGGTACGCACAGGCTGGCTCGTCCCCAAACCGGGGCCACTCTATCTGTACGAGTTTATTATACAAAGATGGGGTCTTACTCCAGATATGGTTTCCCAAGAAACAAATGGTGCCTTCCTTCTGGAAAGAGGGTCATCGGCTCCCCAATTCCCTCTGCCAGTTCAACAGGAGGCTGTTGGACACCAGCTCCTGCGAGGCCGGCCACCTCCCCGAGTGGCTTTGGAAGAAGGTGGTCACCTGAGGTGCCTGACGACAACAAAGGTGGGGAGGACCCTGCGGGGGCAACACCTGCACGGCCGTGAGCCTGCCCACCCCTCGCCACGGCGCTGAGACCCCCAGAGGCTCCTGTTCGCAAACACGCCGAGGAGCCCCCAGAAGCGGGCTTTCCTGTCTTTGCTAATGAAATGCCCACAAAACTGCCAGCCCGCCTCTAATCATCGCACAGACGGCCGCGGTGCTGCCGCCAGATGAGGGGCACTCCTGGGAGGACTCCGCTTTCGTCTGGCGACCAAGGGAAACAGGCACATTTGGATGGCTCAGTCAAATGCAAGCGAGCTTTCTCCAGGTGGCCCTGGGTGGAAGCCGGACGCTCTGTCCCCTGATGCACACAGACAGGCCTGCGGGGCAGCGGCCGGGGCCCCTTGCCGAGTCTCCCCTCCTGGCACCGCCTGCCACGTCACTGCAGCTGCTGTGGGGGCTCCTCTGTGCTTCTGGGCCACATGGCACCGTCCATAGAGCCACACGTGTGAAATTTCTACTCTCGCTACTCTGCACCCTGTCTCCCAAACAGTGAAGGGAAATGAGAATTATCGTCATGAGGGCTATCAGGGAAGGAAAACGCAGCGGCTGCAGGGATGCATAATTCACGGGGGAGGCGGGGCCGGGCCACCCAGGTGCTCGTGCCCTTCCCAGCCGCTGGATCTGCAGGAAGGATGTGCGGTGCTGAGTCTTCAGGGGCCTCATAGAGAAAACGTGACTCTGGGGCAGGGGTCCTCAAACTTTTTAAACAGGGGTCCAGTTCACTGTCCCTCGGACAGTTGGAGGGCCGTTGGAGAGTGCGGCGCACATTCCACACATGCGCACTGTGGGCCTGGGATGAGTCGGCTGCTAAGCAGGACAGGCAGGGGCAGCAAAACACCGGGGGCGCCAGATAAATGTCCTCAGCGGGCCACATGTGACCCGAGGGCCATAGTTTGAGGACCGCTGAGGGGTGCCGGGGACTCATGTTGGAACTGCTGAGCTGCAGAAGAAGGTGCTCGGGAGGTCCCATCTGTGACACACCCACCCGTGTCCAAAGACCCCGCAGAGAGGCAGAGACCTAGGCAGGGGGACAGTGTCTCTCCCAGCCCTCGGCTCAGACCTCGGCTTTCAGGAGCCACCCAGCGACGCTGCCCAGCGACACTGCCCAGCGACGCTGGTCACATTAGGATGGATAGCCTCTCGCACAAGCGACAGATCTGCCTGTGCATATTTTAGTCTTTAGTTTCTTTTTCTGTTTGTTTGTTTACAAAGAGTTTTATATAACTAAGCTCACTGGATTCTCACAGCAACTCTGGAAATAGGTGTTATTACTATTTTTATTGTCATTTCCATTTTCCAAAGGACCAAGAAGAGGCTCTGAGGGTTAAAACACTTGTCAAATCGCAAAGCCACCCAGTTCACGGCCTCTGGCTTCCAGAATTGCTGCTGCGTGGCTGACTGCCCCTTCCAAGCCCAGGCCGTGTGCAGCACACAGATGACCTCGCCGTGCACAAACCCCCGTCTCCACTTGGTCTAGTCCAGGGAGGAGGGGTCCTCCTCCTCCTCCTCCCCCCACCCAAGCATTCTGATGACTTTCTTCTCAGTGGATCTGTTTCAAGGTGGGACAGAGAGGCCAGCGGCAGTGACCTCTCTCGGACCAGACAGTCACCGCTCTGTGCACTGCTGCCCCAGCCATCAGCCACGCTGAAAGCGTTGACTTCTGTCTTTGGAAGCTGCTTCGGAATTGCACCACGGTCCCCAAGAAGTAAAGAGTTAGGTTTCAGGGCACGCCCCCAAATCTTCACATATCTTAATTCGGAAGCATAAAGGAATCACACTCTGTAAATTACAAAGTTGTGGCTCTGTGGCACCAAAATAATTAGTCAGTTGTGATTGAAGTAGATTTTCAAAACTCACACAAATCACAGGGCAGACAGAAACCTTGCGCTCCTTATTCATTCACTTCCCCCGTGGGCACAGGGGCCGTGGGCACCCCGCCATGCAGCAGGGGGACAGAAGAGGAGCTGGCCTGGAGGTGGTTTAATTCCCACCCCCCGTTGGGGAAACCCTTGTTGCCCCGGCCCCAGGGAGGCGGATTCCGGCCCGGCGGTTTTTTTTAAGGTTCTTCTTTTTGGTTCTTTTACTTGTTGCTTTTGCAGGCTGACAGCGTTCCAAAGGCGTCTGCAGCCCCTGCAGAGGTCTGCCCTTTGAGCTGACCCTTGGGAGGAAGTGAGGGCAGAGGCAGGAGGGAGTCTTCGGCGGGTGCCCTGCTGGCCCACCCACTGCCCCGAGTGCCTGCCTATTCTCATCCCATTTTCATCACCTCCACATAGAGAGCCGGCTCTCAGTGCCCTCGGGTTTTGCTTCCTTGGCATATTTGAACAAAATAATCACAGTGTTGGGCGCTAAGTGTTTGCACTCCACGTGCTGGACACGAGAGGCAGCTCCGTGAGCAAGGTGGGGGGTGCCTGCGTTAGGGATGCCAAGCTGGGCTCAGCTGCATCCTTTGGTCTCACTCAGGGTCCTGCCTGCAGGCTCTGGGCCTCGGGCTGCCTCACCCCTGGCCTCTCTTTGCGCACTGACGTGGCGGCGAGCATCTCACACGTGGTCCTAAAGGAGCCTTCCCTGCTGGCCATGTGCGCTGAGGAGCACTGCGCCACTGGCCACCCGGGGCTATGCAAACTTGCATTACTTAAAATTAAACACAGCCAACAACTGGACCTTCAGTCGTGACCACCACATTCCAAGTGCTTAGCAGCTGCCTCGGTGCTTAGTGTCTATCACATGGGACAGCATTTCCATCATCTCAGAAAGTCCTGTTGGACTGCACTGTCCCATGGGCTCTGATCCCACTGAATCTGGGCTCACTCTCTTCTACACACAGGGAGCTCTCTGCTGTTCCTCCAGTGTGCTGGACATGCCTCGTGTCTGCCGCTTCTGTCCCCCCAGCCAGGGCCTCTTCCCACAGATACACATGCGAGCAGCTTCCCCACTCCACGCCACTTCTCGACAGTCATCCCTACACACCACAAGACTGCCGCTGCCTTCCAACACCTCTATTTCTTGCCTGCCAGGGGCCTCGCCTCTGCACCCCAGGTGCTACTGGTTTGTTTACTGCCTGACCCCCTTCCTGGCAGCACCCCCAGGGCAGACATGGTTTGTTCACAGCCACATCCAAGTGTCCAGAACAGTGTCTGGCACATAGTAGAACCCAAGGAACACTTGTTGAATGAATGCACGGCACTTCACCTGTGGCCTTAATGGACATGAACAACACTAATTAACTAGAGCAACAGAGCCTCCAGAATGTGTGCTGAGTACACCGGGTCACCAGCACATTTACCTTTATCTGGGTTTATCATTGCCCACAGTGCACCGGCTGCCTGAGCTCTGCTCCCCTCTGCGCCCCTTGAAAGGCTGCCCTGTGCTCTCCGAGACAGGCTCCTTCACCGTCCACTAGGTGAGACACCAGGAGGGGCCTGGGTTTGAGCGAGGATGAGAATGATGACTTGGAGGTAGGTACAGGGCTGTCTTTCTTGTGTGGCTCCAGAACCGTGGAGGAACAGAACCCAGGATAACACCTGGCGCGGCTGCAGGGGTGGCTGCAGCTCCAGCCTCCTGTGCCTGTGGGAGGCACACTGACGTTCCCTGCTCTTGGCAGCCAGCATGGAGTGAGACCCCCGCGTCCACATCCCAGGAGTGTAGAAGTGGAGCTGGCTGCCTTTGGTGCCTCCAGGCAAGACCTTCTACTACCCCGGAAGGATATAACTCTTAGGGAGCCTCAAGGACAAGGTCTGGGTTCTAAGCCACGAAGACCTTGCAGGGCAAGTGCCTGCACCACCTCCCCACACCTGCACCAGTGGGGCAGCCCCA